TTACTTTCACCTTCATTATCATCATTATTTTTATCAGATTCCTCTTCACAATTGGATTCATCTTCACTATTAGATTCTCCTTCATGATCAGAATCCTCCTGAAATGGTTCCTCCTGAGTGGTTTCCTCTTGAATGGGTTCCTAATATTTAAAATACTTGGAACCATCAGATTCCTAATTATCGTTTTCGGAATGATGTGGAATATGTTTTTCTACTAATGACCTTAATGATCTGGTGTATTCAGATCTTGTCCATTTGGGAGTATTTACAGGTGCTTCATTTTCACCAGCCGCAAATTGGGTATCATCATATACTCTTTTTCTAGTTCTGCGTGCTTTTGATGATTTAAAGTCTTCATTATCCACATAGTCTCACAAAAACAACCGCAACTATTAGAAATAAAAAGAATAAATTAATACAATCCGATTGGTAAAAATAAAAATAAAAATTACTTACCATAGATAATTGCCATTTGGGTTCCTGAATGACGATTTTTCTTTTATTAGAATTTTTATCGTCAGTTTCTGAAACCTTTGGGCTATGATATCGATTATCGGTTCAAACTGGTTGGAATTCATTTTTATAAATTTTTCCAACCAGACGATCCTTTAATCTAATACATCTATCAATAGTTCTTGCTTGTCGTTCTTGTTTCTAATATTTTTTTTAAAAATAAAATTTAAAAAAAAGTTATTTTGACAACTAATCCGACTGTTTACTTACTTCATGACGACGTGTGTTAGCGTGCTTCCTCCTCCTTTGGAAGTTATTCCATTCATCTCCTTTCTTTTTCTTAAGTACTTCTTCTTTTTAGTGTCGATGGCGTTCGTGAATGATGCGCTTTATTATAGAGTCTGACACTGGAAATACTTTTTTATTGATCGATTTTTGTACAATTGGTATCATATGGTTATTAACCAACTTTCGTTGTCTTTCAAAGGTTCTGTTAACTCCTTGAATCTCTAGTATATGCTGCTTTAATGCTACTTGTAGCATTCTCATGCCAATGAAGAGCTTCAGTAATAAGCCTGTTTCCTATTTCTTCAAATTCTCTTAAATCCTCTTCTGTCCAATAATTAACAGTTTCATTCTATTCTAACAGCTTCATCAATTTCACCTTCTTTAATGGTTTCAACTTCCATCTCAAAAGCCTCACCAACAGTTTTGCCAGTTTCTTCTAATTGAGACACATAATGACCTTTTTTTCTGGACAATTCACTTATTTGCTGTTGTCTCTTTGTTTTACATGGCATACTGAATATAGTTTAATTTTAAACCAAAAATCAAAATTTTAAAACCTGTAAGAAAAAAATTTAATTACAAAAGCAGGAGCAATTCTTTTGTTAAAAAATCCTGATAATAAAAGTTAAATAAATTTAAGACTAAATCAAAAAGTATAGCAAAGATTTCGAGTTTAATTATGATAGATAATTCGGGTTGGCATTATGATAATTATAATATTGGCCTGAATTATCATAAGTTCTGACCAATAAAATTACATTCATATGATTTGATTTGTTTCAAATTTGGGCTAATCATATAAAATTATGCAATTTTAAATACCTATAACTTTTTATCTAGAACTTTTTTTGAAAATTTGACCGGTAATTTAATAGTACTCATCTTGGAGAATAAAGTTACCAGTTTATTTTTTTTAAAATTTTATTTTTTTAAAATGTTGAAAGTTTTTTAAGTATTACAATTTTATTGTTAAGTATAGACTTCCGGCACCATATTAATAAAAATGTATATAATTTACAAAAAATCGTACCTAATATGTTATGTATAAAATAAGTACATTACTTTTTAGTATATATATTATTATTAAACATTCCTCCTACTAAATTACCGTTTCTTTTCAAAAAAATCAAAGCTTCAAATAAATCCTCCTTCATACTTGTTCTTTTTGCTGACATTATTAATCCAGCATCGCTAAAAGCCTTTTTACTTGCTCTAGATATTGCTTGAATAACTAAATATTTACATCTTAACTGAGCTCAAATTGGAAATTGCTCTTATTAACATCCCACTATTTTAAAGGATCTTGATCATTTTGAGCTTGTACCATTACTAAATATCTTTCAAACTTATTATCTTCAATTTAAGAGTTGTTAATTCATCATCAGAAAATAAAGATCTCTTATAAACTTGTACTTTTGATATTTTTTTTTGGTTTTGAATTATGTGATTCTTATTGAAAATTAGTATTATTTTTTGTTAACTCGTATACTTTATAAAGGCTAGTTTTTGTTAATTCTTTTTGATTATTAGTTGTAAATTTCATTTTTTTTTTACGTGGATCTAATAAAGCTGCAATTAAAGCTTCCTTTTCAATCATTTCATAATAATATTCAAGTGCTTTATAAAGATCTACTTTAATTTTATCCAAAAGACCAAAGGTATTAATAGAAGTATTTATTTGAATTTTTCATTTAGCTTCAGGTTCATTATTTTCGTTAACTTCTTCAAATTGATATTCTTCAAATGCATTATCATTTATTTCTAAATCTACATTACTATTATAAAATTCTTTGATTAGACAAAAGAGTTTTTTGAGTTTAGTAATACCTGGATATATATAACTCATTATTACATATTTTGTACTTCTAATTTTTCTGTTAATTCTGCAAAAGGTCCTAAGATTTCAAGTAAATCTCTTATAGCATCCTATTCATGACTAGTAAGATTAATTTTTTAACCTTTTTGTATCTTCTTTAGCATCACAATCTTTACTTGTATTTAATGAAGAAATAACAATTTCAATATAAGGTTTTAGAATTATTAATCTTTCTCATGCTATAAATATGCTTGACCAATGTGTTTCAACATCTGTAATTACCTTATAAAAAACCATTTGTAAATCACTTTTCTCTTCAGGGTTTTCTTCAGAATTTTTTTTTGTGTATCTATAAGACATTTATTTTGTTTAGGTGTAGTGAAAAACTTGATTAATCTTTTTACACATGCAATTAAAACTTCAGCAATAAGCAATTCTTTTTCAACAACCAGTTGAATTATGTGTGTAGTATCTGATAATTATTTTAAAAAAGTAATTGATTAAAACATTTTTTCATATTAGAAGCATTATCTGTCATACAAAAAAAAACTTTGAATAGCATTTTTTGTATGTAGATACAGCATATATTGAATAGCTAAAGTTATCTTCTTTATCTCAAATCTGATGTAATAAAATGATATGTAATATCAAGAAATCCTTGCTTATTACAAGAAGTCCAAAAGTCACAGGTCAATAAAACTGAATTTGCATTCTCATGAATGTATTGCTTTAGATACCTTTTTGAAAATTCATATACTTCAAAAATTCTTTTTCAAAATTCTTTATCAGTTGAAAGTTCAAAGTTTTTATTTAATGCATAGATAAATTTACGAAAAGAAGGAGATTTTAAAAGATAAAGTAGTTGAAAATCTAGAATAAGCCATTCAAAAAGAAGAGTTTCCAAATATTTATGTTGATCTTGTGTCATTTGTGAAAGCGAATCTGATAAAATAGTATAATGATCAATTTTAATTTGTTTTAAAGATGATGTAGCCTTTAAAGGTATAGAATATTCATAAATTTTATGTTTTCGTCCAAGATGACTAATAATATTACCAGTTGAACCTGATGTCTCTATTTTTGCTGCACAAATTTTACCACTATCTAATGGTTGATTGCAATCAAATATAATTTTTTTGAATCTGTTGGATGAATTTTTCTTTCACCCTAATTATATATTCAACTACGAAATTTTGAGTCTCCTTTACTTTTAACTTGAATATTTAATGAGTCAGTTTTTTCTTCTGATTTTTCAAAGATGTTTGTTTCCTTTCTGAAATATTATCATTGTCTATATTAACATAATTAATATTATCATTATTTTCAGACAATGAACTTTTTACTGAAATTTTTTCAGTTGACATATTTAGAAATAATATTTATAAATGAGTTTTTTATTTTTTTATTTCTTTAATCTTGTTTTTTTTTGTTCTTTTTAAATAAAAAAAATGTGTTATTTATACGAAAAATGAATTAAAGTTTTCTATTTTATGCAATGTAAATAGGACCCCAAACTATATTAATAAAACTCACAAATGTAGTATGAACACGCAAATAAAATTATATTGTATAGTATAACTCGATCAATATTAATGCTAGAAAGATATAATTACTATCATTGGATTCCTCTCGGTTAGACGAATCCAATGGTATAAATATCATTAAAATTTAATCACTGGTTATTGAGATAATAGGGTATGTAGGATAAGTAAATTTGTAAAAATAAGTAACTTTTGGCAAAGTTTATATATAAACTCTACGCAAACTCAAATGTGAGTTATATTAGTATAGTTCAGGATCCTATGTAAATTCTGATCATTATATTTATTCTAGAATAATTTGAATAATCCTAAGATATATCTATTTGTTGATTTGTAGATTCGTTAACTATTTAAATATTATTCGGATATAATGTGAATAATAGAATAATCTGAATTTATTCTAGGATATTATCTATTTAAGAAAAGCTCTACTTTCCCATCTTATTTCTGATTTACTCAAAAGATCAACCAGGCAATATATTTGCATTTATTATCTTTTGATAAACTTTTGTTTTTCCTCGCTTCCATTCTTCTAAATGTTCATTCCAAAATGTAAGTAAACTTTTAATTTCTATATTTGTTCATTTGGTATTATCTTTACTTGTATTTTTTTCTTTTTGGGAGACCTTTTATTTTCATTTCTTACTTTTAACTGATGGCTAAATAGTGTAAAAAAATAAGTATTAGATATACAAATATTTAATTAAAA